TCCTGACTCTTTGAAGTCAGTGGGAATCCATGCGGAATTGGTCACACAGAGGTGAGGGAAGAGACAGTGCACTGGAGCATGGAAGGTGTCTGGTACAATCTTTTTAGCTTCTCACGTGAGAGGTGTGCTCTTTCTGGTAGTTGTAAGTCTCCTTAGCATCAGCTGGGTAGTAAGAAAAAAAATAAAAAAATAAATGTCTAGTTCATGTCCTCTGTGTCATTCAGGGTATTTGAAAAGCATTGATAGGTATCATGGACACTGAAAAAAATGATAAAATAAAACAAAACCTTGTGACTATACTTTCTGCAAATTAATAGTTCTTGAAATAAAAGACAAAGTAAGCAATAAAATTGCTTTTGGCAACAGTTATTGTTCAAGATGTGGATGAATTAAACATCTATTCTGTTTGTCTTATTGATGCATTCTAATGAATTTTAAAATTTCTATTCCTTCTGATTTCTGTTCTACCCATAGTGTTTCTTTTCAACAATTTATTTTGTCTTCTGTATGGTTCATTGAAAAATTGCTTTCAGAACTGGTGATATTTAAACAGATTTAGTACGAAGTATGATCAAAATATACAGTGAATGTTTAAATAAAAAATATTTATTACAAAAGATGCATTAGCATTGTTTCCCTCAAAATAGTCCCCCTCACTTTGAACACAAGTAACCTATCATTCTTGCCACCTTGTGAAGCAGTTCCAGAACTCCTCTTTTCTGAGTGTCTTTATAAGGTATGATATGATAAAAAAAATATGGTGAACCCAGCTGCCGAGTGCCATCCAACAGGAAAGCAGGCTCATAAAAATATTACGGTGTGTCCACATCCACCTTATTCACTGGGTCTAGCACTGTGCAACTTTTGGCTCCTCCTTGAAGTCAAAATGACCATGAAGTTTGAATTGATTCAGGACTCTGAGACAGCGCAACACCACAACTAATGACACTCATGAAAGACAACTCCAGAACTGCCTCGGAAAGTGGCAAAAACAACGAGATACGAGTGTTCAAATTGAGGGAGAGTTTTCTGAGGGGGATTAAAGGCAATGTGTCTTTCACTGTAATATATTTTTTAAAAATTTAAACATTCACAATATTTTCCATTCACATATATGTCTTTGGAAAACAGAAAGAAGGAAGGGAAGAAAACAGAAAGCTTTGAAAATTAAATGTAGTATGTATAGAATGAATTCAAACTTCTTCTGATTGTAATCTTTGTAGTGAATTCATTTTTTTGTATCACAGTCATATTGAATGTTGATAGGGGAACACTCCAGAGGGGAAGTGTCCTCTGAGGGTCTTGTATTAGCTTTATCTGGGATGATAAACATCTTATTTACAGACACTATCAACCACATAGCCTCCTACACCTGTAAGGGGACAGGAGGTGCACTACTGCCCTATAACTCAAATGGTGGAGGGCCATAAATATTTGGCAAACAGTATTAATGACTGCCGCAGCAAGTCTGTCATTTTTAACAGTTAACGTTACAGAAAACCTTGTGTGATGAATAACATACACAAGGTTTGAAGCTGTGGCATGCATGGCATTTTTAGACATTTAAATTACAGAAAGGCTTATTTGTAAAATGAGTATATAGCAGGTTTGACTATATATCCACCAACACAGCTGTTCAAAAAGGTTTTAAATGTCTTTATTTTACATTACGTCTCTTATTTGGAGCCCCATTCCCAAGAAAAATAGTGGGAAGTGCAAATTCACTGTTATTGGGGCTCCTCCCGTTACAAGGGATGTCAGGGAAGGCACGTGGCCAGACTCCAGCAGAGGGGGTGCTCTGGTCTTCTGTCCCTGGGTGCTGTTGAGATGTGTGTGGATCAGGTACACAGGTGAGTGCTCTGGGCTGGTGGTCCTGCCACTCTGACAGGCTGGGAGGCACCAGGCTCTGCTGAAGTGGGCAGCTGGGGGCCAAAGATCCAGCCTCCTGCAAAGACCACACTGGTCACACTGAGGATGTTTATTTCCCCAGGATACCATCACCAAGCAGGGTCCCTCCCACAGTGGGGGACCACCAGCCTTTGGTCCTGTCTCATCCAGAAGCAAGTCTTCCTGTACTCCTGGCTTCTCAAAGGACAGGAAGAACTGCAGACACAGAGACCTCCACTTTCCTGAGGCTCGCCCGCTCCTTGGGTACACAGGACCTGCTTTTTGTGATTCTTGTCAGAGTTGGAAGGATGAAAGGAGACTCACAAAAGCAACTGTGGCAGAGAAAGTCCTAATAGTGTGAATGAAGTGTGAATTAACTTTAATAATAAGGAATGGACAGAGCAAGGGTGGGCTGAAAGAAAGATATTCATATTGTTCATGTGCTATGTGCCAGGCATTGGTAAGGTGTTTTTACATATTATCTCATTTAATCTTCACAGCAATATTGTGAACTAGAGATTATTGTTCAATTTCAAAAAGAAAACTGACCCTCAGAGGGTTCTATGGACGCTTAGAACAAAATAATAGCAACACTTATTAGGCTTATGAAGTGACAGTCACTGTTAATAAGCTCATTTTGAATAAAAAGTCATTTATTCTTCACAATGCTTCTATAAAGTACTGTAAATGTAATACTTCTATTTTAACGATGATAAAATTGAGTCATAGATAGTTGAAGAGACTCAAGATTACACAGCTAGAAAATGGTGAGGTCCAATTTGAGTCCTCCCAGTCTGTCCCCAAGTTTTTCTTTAATCATTGTCCAGTCCTGCTGAGGGAGAGGTAAAAGGGATGGGGAGGAAGACATAGAAAATGAGGTAGACAGATGGACAGATGTGCACGCACATGCACATACACGCCATATTCGTCACTTTGCCATTGCTAGGGCAAAATACCTGCCACCCACAATGAGAAGAGGAGAGGTTTGTTGGGCTCACTGTTTCCACTGGGTTCAGTCTGAAATTGGCCAGCTCCCAGGCAGAGATAGCACAGTGGAGGGATGGACGGAGGGAGGCTGCTCACCCCATGTAGCCAGGGAGCACAGGGAAGGAAGGAGCCAAGGACAAGGATATGGACTTCTAGGTCACATCCCTGGTGAGGCGCTTCCACCCAGGCCCCACCTTCCAACTGCACGTTCAGCTACTGAGCTCGTCAGTGGACGAATCCTCTGATGGTATAGTGCCACCAAGATCCAGTCACCTTCCAAACACGTAACATGTACAGACACAGAAAGACAGAGAAACAGAGACATACAGAGAAAGAGAGAGGCAGATACACACACAGAGCAGGGCAAGACAGAGAGAAAGGGAGACAGGCAGGCAGACACACACACATGCACACTCAAAACACAGAGGGATAGACAGAGACAGAGACAGAGAGAGAGGGCATAGTCACATTCTAAAATTTGAATTTATTTGTTGAAATTACTTAAGCCTTTCTTCAAAGAAGTTCAATGCATTTCTAAGGAACTGAGCCTCTAATTTTGTCATGGGATCCAGGAAAAGTAGAGGCTCTCCTGACTTCCCAAATAGACACCTGGGTTCTCCGTCCCTAACCCTTTTCAGATGAAAAGGAAAGAGGTGATGCTTAGGAGTGAAAAGAGAAGGTCTTGACAGCGTTCCAAATGGGGCAGCTGATGACTTGATAGTTAAATATTTAAAACGGCTCTTCTGAAAATAGAATACTCAGATCATGACTTCTTTCCCAGGGGCTGATTCTAGGTCGACTGCAAGCCACTTGCTCTTCAACACTAACACCGTGTAAACTCTTTGGGATCCACTCTCTGTGAAGAGCAAGGAGGGCTGTACAAAGCACTGTTTGCCCTTAGATATAAAAGCTTAAACATTTATAGCTTCCTAAGCAGCCAAGTTACTTTTAGCCCAAGGAGGCAGGCACACTATATTGATTTCCCAGAGGGGGAAATCATTTTCCCTTCTTTCAACATCTTTCACAAGTAACTTACAATAGGTAGTCAGAAAGATTAGGCAACTGATTCCTGCCGTGGAAAGATGAAAAGAAGGTTTCTTTTTTTCTTCTTCTTCTTTTTTTTTTGAAAAGAAGGTTTCTGATGCCTTGCTGCTAAGCAGAGGAAAGGAGACCAGACTCCATAGATTTTATTTTACTAACTCTCCCAAAGTGTAAAGTCTGATGTCATAAAGATGATTATATGACAGGCTGCTTATCTTAGAATAGAATTGTTACCCAGTGATTGATTACATTTGGTTTTAAGGTTATGATTTAGCATAGTTATTTTAGTGTCAGATGCAAAGACTGTGAATGTCCATCACTTGCACTGTTTTACAAATGATTTGGCACTTTTTTTTACAACAAAAATAGATTTTCTTTTACTCATTTAGTGTAAACACCTAATCTGATATCAGTCGATCCAAAAATACGATTCAGGTATCAAAACTCACTTGGAATCACAGACAGATGCCCTTAACTTAATGCACTGAAATATTCCTGAATAGTTACACACAAGATTGAATTTCTGCAAATCAAATTACAATTGGTACTTACTGAGAAAACTACGTGAAGAGCCACCAGAATGAACCAGTTTGTGAACAAACAGCCACCCTCCATTTTCATTGGTTAAATGACACCTTTTCTTTCTTATTTCAGAGCTAACTAATTCACATGTTACACTAATTGTTATTTGAGGCAAACTAATTCACATGTTACAAATTTGACTTTTTGTATTTGGGTTTGTGGAAACTGGTAGAAGTAGCATGCAGGTGTCTAACAATGTTTTAAAAATTCTCCCTTCAAAATAAATTCTGGAAATTTTTAAATGATCGATCAAATAATACTTCAATGGTTAAAAAATTCTATCATGTTTGCCAATAAGTGCTTATCACTAGCAGTCATTTACCTTTCACTGATGATCAATTTATAATTATAGGAATTCAGTTTCTTCCACTAAAAGAAAGCGTGTCCCAGCTTACAGCTCACCGTTACTGTTTCAATCACTTTATTACAGATGATTGCAAAGACTTGTGTAAATGCTTTATTTCACATTTTATTTCCAGATGAGTCTGAAAATATGTATGTATATACACAATATATGTGTATATGTGTATATATCTTGGAAAACATACTTGTGGGTATAATGTCTGTTTTATTTAGATAATTTGCTGTTTGTAGGACTGATCAGATCCAGTTAAATACATTTCTCTGGAACTTTCTGAAAACAAAGCAAAAATATTTAGAATTTAAATCCATTAACCATGGCAAGATAACTTACAAACATTAGTGGGACAAAACCACTTACCTTTGAAGTCTGTGCACATTCATTGTTAGGGCTTGTGTTTGGATGTCCCCCAAAGCCTCATGCTTTTTCAGAGGTGGCTGAATCTAGACTGTGATTGATTCATGGTGGGTGTAGGCCCGAGGGCACTAGGGTTATGGGTGTGAGTGCTACCACTCCAAGTAGTCTGCATAAGATAAAAGGGGCAGAAAGATGCTATTAAAGTCCCTTGCTGCTTTGCTACTGTCTGTCCGACATGAACTATTGCTCCTCTGCCACCCTGCCTGGGAGCCAGCTGATTATGGACTGAAACCTCTGTGAACTGTGAGCCGAAATAAACTTCTCCTCCTTTAACTTTGGTTGTCAGGTGTTCTGTGGTAGAAGGAGAAGAGTAACTAACATTCGTAGTCCTGTTTTGTTAAGTTTTTGCTTGAATTATTTCTCAATTTCTCTTACTGAATTCATAGATTAATATCCTGTGTGGCACGATGAATGCTATGAAATTCATAATAGATATGGGAAACTTTAAACAAAAGGGACATTTTAAATTAATGTGGCCAACATATTTTCCCGTGTGCAATGCATGTGTTTTATACGCACTTTGTCACAGACATAATAAAAACTAACAAAAGTGTTGTAGAAATTGCTGTGGGATGAGGGATATAAAGGCCCGATCCTTTCATTTTCGCTAAAGAGTTTCACTCTCTGCCATTGTGCAGTGCTGCATTTTCCTGCGGTTCCTTCCACCCTCCCCTCTTCCCTCACCTGGGACTCCATGTGGTCGGAGACGGCTTCTACACACTGGCCTGCAGCCTCAGGTCCAGCCCTTCCCGAGATGCTCTGCCAGGCTGTGTGCAGGAAAATGCATCCTGCATTCCCTGTACTTAAACCTAATCCATCCGATTAGATGCACACTCATCTGCAGTTTCTTTCCTCTTAGGGGCCCTCACAATGGGGAATGTGCGAGCAGGCAGAACCGTGCATAGTTCTTGGGCGTTTCTGAGAGGGGACCCTAGACTATGTTTCTGCCGGGCTCCAAGTTCTGAGAATGTGACTCTTGGCCGGGCGGTCTACACTGGCTCCGCACGGAAGGAGAACGGAATGACCTCTATGCGGATGACCCCCAACCCCCCAAAACCCACTCTCCGTCCTTTCTGAGATGAAACTTTGGGGATGTTTCCCCCAGGAGGCTGTAACTACAAACTGACCAGAGCAGCGGACTCGGCCTTCGGCCTGCTCGGAAGAGCGCGCTCCAGGGCCGGTGCTCGCGGTAACCATTCGTGTGAGGACGTCTGCTGGGGCAGTCTCTAGACTGCAGCTACAGCTTCCGCGTCTGGTTGTTCGCAGCTTGAAGGGCCTTCTTTCTGATGTTTTAGGCAATAAAGGAGAACCTCCTCTGTTCTCAGAACATTGGGAATTGGCAAAGTAAGTGACACCCACGCCTCAGCCATTTCCCGGGCTGGGCTGGTGGGGGTCCTCGTGAACGTCAGCCTTCAGGGCTTAGCTCTCAGAGTCCCTGTGTTCACAAACCTGGAGGGTGGGTCCCCAGGCCGTTAGCTTTGCACTTCTAGAAAGGAAAGAAGCTAGGAAGGAAGGAAAAGGAAGGAGGCAAAAGAAAGAAGAAAGAGAAGGGTAAGGAAGGGACGAAAGAGAAGAAAGAGGAGAGGAAAGGAGAGGAGAGAGGAAGGAGGACCCTCGGTCGGCTGGGCGCTGGCGAGGACCCAGAGTGCTCCGGGATCTCCAGACCCCAGGCGGTGCGGACCCTGAGCGCGGATGCAGCCCGGGGGCGCCCGGCGTCGTCCTTTCCAGAGCGACCATGTGCGCGGCTGGCGTTCAGATCCCGCCGTCCCGGACTCGGCCCACCCGCCCTCCTTCCCGGCCCGCACGGAGTCATCGCTCCTCCCCACCCGCCTCGACCACCCCCTCCCGGAGCGGCAGGTGGGGCTCTGGCCCGGCGCGGTGGGCGTCGGAGCGAGGGGGCGCTGTGCGGCGCGGCCGGTGGCGGGAGGGCGGCCAGGCAGCCGGAGGCCGGCGAGTGGGGGCCGCCGCGGCGGCCCCAGCATCTCGGGATCCCGCGCGGG